CGTCTTCATGTCTCCTGCATGACCGTCTGCGGCCCGGCAACCACGGCCGGCCTCAGACCCTGTTGGTTGCCGTACCATAGCATAATTCAGCATTATTGGTGTCCGTGCTATAGTGGCGCATTCAAATATGGATGGAGGCCAATTTGACCACAGCACAGACGGGCAACAAAGTCAGGGTTCATTACACCGGCCGGCTGGACGATGGCGAAGTATTCGACTCGTCGGAAGGCGGCACACCCATGGCCTTCACCATCGGGAGCGGTCAGGTGATACCGGGTTTCGAGAACGGTGTCACGGGAATGGTCGTCGGCGATACCAAGACCGTCCGGATCCCGTGCGTCGACGCCTACGGCGAGCACCATTCCGACGGCGTGATGCAGGTGCCGCGCGGCGAATTCCCTCCGGAAATGCCCCTGGAAGTCGGAACGAGCGTGCAGGGGCAGCAGGAGAGCGGCCAAGAGGTGAGCTTCACCATAATGGCAGTCAGCGACGAGGCGGTCACGTTAGACGCCAATCACCCGCTGGCGGGCAAGGACCTGACCTTTGACCTGACGCTGGTGTCTATAGAAGGATAATTGAGCAGTTGGGGAGACCGTCCCGTAATTGGAACCACGTTTCCCTTTCCCTGGTTGGGTTGACCGTGTCCTGCGGTTGCTCTCGCCGCAATTCCGGGAACTATTCGCGGTCACCCTTGCTATCCTGGCGACTGCGGTAGCGGCTGCGCTGTCCTTGGAGTTGGCTGCAGGAGATGACCCGCTGCTACGGAATGTGGCGCGCTACGCAACCGTTGCCTTGATAATATCGGCGACCGTTGCGGTAATGGTCATTATCGCGACGGCCCTGTTCCTGTTACTTCGTTCCCGGCTGCGCGACGGCTGAGCAGCCAGGATCTGACCGACTTCCACAAGCCGGCCGCCGCGACGACGGACCAAAGAAGTGTGACCATAGAGAGCGCGAAAGAGCCCGATACCAACACGACGAATCGGTCCGTCGCGAATCCGATAATCGCAACCAGGAACGCTGCTGCAAGTCCAATTATAACCAGCCCGGTCAGGAACGGCGGCACGAGAGTTTCCGGGCCGATGGGTGCTTGCGCCGGTGCGGTTAGTGCAATCCCCTTCATCTCGCGTTTCAGGCGTAGTCATGGCATCCCCTCGCACGCTTTAACTGTACCAGACTACACGCGCACCTGCTGCCCCAGCGTCTGGTAGGTGACCGGCGACGTGGCTACGAGGCCAGCGTCCACCGGAAGCACCACGCCGTTGACCCACCGGGCCTCGTCGCTGGCCAGGAACAGCGCCGCGTTGCCGACGTCCCACGCCGTACCCTCCGTCCGGAGGGGAGCCGAAGAACTGCGAATCTGGCGCAGGTCGTCGTCCATACGCGGGGCGACCATGGGGGTGTACACCAGGCCCGGGGCGATGCAGTTGGTGCGGATGCCGTCGGGTCCGTGATCGGCGGCCATTGAGATGGTCAGGCCGATGACCGCTGCCTTGGACGCCGTGTACGGGGTGCTGCTGTGGGCGCGCAGCCCGGCGATGGACGAGATGTTGATGATGGACCCGCCGCCCGCCTCCATCATGCGCGGTATGGCGAACTTGCTGGCCATGACGATGGTCTTCACGTTCACGGCCATGATGTGGTCCCAATCTTCCTCGGACACCTCCACCACCGTGCCGCGCCGGGAAATGCCCACGTTGTTGTCCAGGATGTCCAGCCGGCCGTAACGTTCGATGCAGGTTTCCACCATGCGCTCGCAGTCGGCGGCTTTGGTCACGTCCGCCTGCGCGGTGGACGCCACGCCGCCCTCGGCCTGGATCATCTCCATCGTCTCGGCGGCGCGTTCCTCGGTGATGTCTACCAGCAGGACCTTGGCCCCCTCCCGGGCGAACAGCATGGCGGTGGCTCGGCCGTTGCCCACGCCCGGGCCGCTGGAGCCGGCTCCGGTTACGATCGCCACTTTTCCTTCCAGTCGCGGGCTGCGTTCAGGCACCGTTGCATCCTCCGTGTAGGGTCGCCCTCATTCGGCGATAGGGCGTGAAATTATCCATAAACTCGCGCAAGTGTAGCACACCATCAGGACCAGCATGGGGAGTTGGCTGAGCAGCGCGCCGCGTCGCGTCGGATAGATCCGCGTCGCCTGCACGTGCGCCAGGTACACGCCGGCGATGTGCCCAACCACAATGGCCAAAATCGAGAAATACCAGATGAACACCGGCGACAGGATGCCGATATTGATGATGGCGTCCGCCGTGCCGAACAGGTCCCAACCCCAGCCGAACGGGTCGGAAGCCAGAACGATGAACCGCTGGCCGTTGATGAGCAGGAACCCGAGGAAGTGGGCGAAGTGGTATGCCAGGGCGATGGGCAGCAGAGAGAACGTGAACCGGCGCAGCAGTTGCCCCGGGTCCGGCTCGGTCTGGCCGGACAATGCGGCAATTGCCGCGCAGGTCAAGGCAAACAGCAGGCCAAAGACCACCGGCAGACCCAGCGCGCCGATCAGGTTGGCGATATAGCCGCCGTATTGCGGGGACTGGAGCAGGAACTGGCCGGTGAACACCAGCCACTCGGGCGTCGCCGAAAGCCCGTCGAAGGAGACGGTGGACAGCAGCAGGATGACGTGGACCACCACGGTCAGCGTCACGACGCCCAGACGGTTCAGCCCCACGCACGGCGGGCGCAGGTTGAATTGCCGCTGCGCCGGGGCCGTCCTGGCGTAGCACTCGTAGCAGTCCACGCAGTCGGACTCCCCTGACGAGCATCGTCCGTCGCTGGTACACCTTCGGCAGCGCGACGTTGACGAGCGCACCTCCGTCACCGAGAAGCGTGCCATGAACCCATACACCACCGTGAACCCCTCGGCGTTGCGCAGCCATACCTCGCGCCCGTACACGTACATGCCGACGAAGTTGTATGCCGTGTAGAGCACGAGGATCCAACCCAACGCCCGAGGTCCCGCCGTGTCCGCCGCCACCGTCTCCAGTATTGCGAAACCGGCGAACACCAGCACCGCCGGCCAGGGTCCAATCCTAGCCGGATAGCGCCGGTGCAGACTCAAACGGCTCCCCGGCGCCAGGGCTTCAAAAGCGCGCTCAAGAAACCCCCAAGCCGCCTTCCAGGGATTGACCAGCGCCCACAGGTTGCCGAAGAGAGCGGTGAAGAAGCTCAGTCCTACCCAAAAAGCGACGTAAATCGCCGCGGGGGCCGGATTGAGCGCGGCCCGCTCGTTGCCGATCAACGCGCCCACGATCACGTACAGCGTCAACACCACCGACAGGGTTTTCAGCGTAGCGGTGAACGGCGAAGAGGCAACCCAGCGCACCGGCGCCAGCCGCAACAGGTTGTAGCGCGGATAACGGGCATGGTTCGCTCCTGCTCGCAGGAACACCGCCGCCACGACGAAGGACAGGGCGACCGCGACGGCGCCGGCGATCACGAACAGGGACAGCGGCAACGGCAGATCGTATCGTTCGCCGAACCCGTGGGCGTGGGCCGGCACGGGGATCGCCAAGGCGAAGGCCACCACCAGTACGGCCGCGCCGAGGATCAGCAGGCTCCCTTTGGCGCTGCTGCCCGTCATGGCCCGGCGGTGCGCCGGCGCAGGGTCAGCCAAGTCCACGCCCCCACCGCGACGATTGCCACCAACACCGCGGTTATCCAGATCCACTGGATGCTGGCGCCGGGCTCGCCCACGTTCAGGGGCAGCACGAAGGTCTCCTCGCCGCGCTCCGAAGATACCGTTACCTCCACGTTCCACGCGCCGACCACGGCAAAGGGCACATCGACCTCGAAATAGCGCAGCGTCTGCTCATTGAGTACCTGCTGGGGACCGAACGCCGGCGAACCCGGCGGTCCGGCGGTGGCCACGGTCATCCGCACCTCGGTGTCGCGCAACGGACGCGGCTCGCCGACTTCAAACACCTGGATCGCCAGATGGGTTTGGGGTATCACGGGTCGCGCCGGGATGATGCCCACCACCACGCGGTAGGGACCCTGAGTGCGATCCATGATGATGGTGGACGCGCCGTTGGCCTCTGCGAGACTTGCCCCCCAATCGAGGGAGCCCCAAACTGCTACCACCACCATTGCGGCAATGATGGCAAACCCCAGCATCAATCCTGATTTCGACAACCGGACCACGTCGTTTCCCGCAAATTCGAGGCTGAAAAATCCCGCCGCACAATAGCACGGGGTCACCGGCAGCATCAACAAAAGCATCCCTCACCACCGCTATAATGCCGCCACGCGTGGGGTCGTCAACCTTGCCCCGCAAGCACATGAGGAGTGAATTATGCCCTTTGCCGGTTTGGATCTGACAGGACGGAAGGCTCTGGTAACCGGCGCGGCCCGAGGAATCGGGGCCACGCTGGCGGTGGGACTGGCGCAGGCCGGGGCGGACGTGGCAGTCACCGACATGGCGTCGGACGAGTCGTGGGAAGGTCTGTCCGGCGTGGTCATGCGCATTCGCAACGAGGGCCAGGTCGGTCTGGCTGCCGACCTCGACGTGCAGGACGTCGCCGAAATCCGGCCAACCATGCGACGCATTGCCGACGAGCTGGGCGGCCTGGACATCCTGGTGAACAACGCCGGCATCAGGCGACGCGCCCCGGCGCTGCAGGTAACCGAGGAGGACTGGGACGCGGTGATGGACACCAACCTGAAAGGAGCCTTCTTCTGCGCGCAGGCGGCAGCGCGCCTGATGATCCCGCAGGAATTCGGCCGCATCATCAACATCGCGTCGCAGATGGCGCTGGTCGGATCCGTGAACCGCGCCGCCTACTGCGCCAGCAAGGGCGGCCTGGCGAACCTCACCCGCGTGCTGGCCCTGGAATGGGCGCAGCACGGCATCACCGTGAACGCCATCGGACCGGGCCCGACGACCACGCCCGGCCTGCTGGAGGCGGACGACCGCGACGCCGACGAACTGCGCGCCGAGCTGGCGGTCAAGATGCCCCTTGGCCGGCGCATGGAACCGGAGGAACTGGTGGGCGCCGCGGTCTACCTGGCCAGCAACTCCGCCGGCGCTACCACGGGACACCTGCTGGTGGTCGATGGCGGGTGGACGGCGTTGTAGAATTGTTTGTACGTTGACGGATTTGTACGTTGACCACCAGGAGTAAGGATATACGCAATGAAATTCGGGATGTTCTATGAGCTCCAGATGCCCCGCCCGTGGACGGACACCGCGGAGTACGACACGCTGTGGAACGCGGTGAAGCAGGTGCAGTACGCCGAGGAGATGGGGTTCGAGCGGGTGTGGCTGGTGGAGCATCACTTTCTGACCGAGTTCGCCCACTCGTCGGCGCCGGAGGTGACACTGGCGGTGATGGCCCAGCACACCAAGAAGATGCGCCTGGGCTTCGGCGTGGCGCTGGCTCCGGTGCACCATCCGCTGCACGTGGCGGCGCGGGCGTCCACCCTGGACATCCTCAGCGACGGCCGCGTCGACGTGGGCGTGGGCCGCACCAAGGGCCCCTACCAGCTGACACCCTTCGGCACGGACGTGGCCCAGACCCAGAGCATGATGGTCGAAACGCTGGAGTGCCTGCCCCGCATGTGGTGCGACGAGGTGTTCAGCCACGACGGCGAGAACTGGACCATCCCGCCTCGCGAAGTGATCCCCAAGCCATTGCAGCAGCCGCACCCGCCCCTGTGGATGGCCTGCACCCAGGAGGACACCTTCCGTCTGGCCGGCCAGCTGGGCGTTGGCTGCCTGGTCAACACCCTGGGCGGAACCGACAAGACGCGGGGCCTGGTGAACGCCTACTACGAGGCCATCGAGAACCCCACGCCCGTCGGGCGATTCGTCAACCGCCAGGTGGTGGCTTCCACCATCGGGTTTTGCGACGAGGACGATGCCCGGGCGCGGCAGAAGGGCGCGGAGGTCGCCGCGTGGTACCTGGAGCAGAGCCGCCAGCGGTTCGTGCTGGAATGGGCCGGCGTCGATGCTGAAGCCGTGCCAGAGGAGTACAGGTTCTACGTGCAGGGTGGCGCGGTGCGCGGCGGCGGGCCATCCCGACCATCGGAGGACCCGCAGCAGCAGAAGCCTCCCACGCCGGAGGAACTTTTGGCCGGCGGCGGTTACTGCGTGGGCGACCCCGACGCCTGCATCCGCGTGATCGAGGAGTTCGAGGCGATGGGCGTCGACGAAATCATGCCCATCTTCCAGGCCGGCCACGCCACCCACGAAGAGGTGTTTGAACTCCATCCGGCTTTTCGGAGAGTACGTGATACCGCATTTCCGCGCCAAAGAGGGCCGATAGACCCCGGGAGATATTGATGACTACCGTTGAACAGTTGGGAACGGCCACGCAGCCGGCGAGCGCCAGGCAAACCGGTACGCCGGTGGTGTCCGTGGTGGCGACCACGCCGGAGACCGTGCTGCAGGACGTGGAACGGGCCATGCGACTGGCCGGCGCGGAATCCGTGCTGTCGCCGGAGCAGGAGACTCTCCTCAAGATCAACATCTCCTGGCAGCACTGGTATCCCGGCTGTTCGACGACTCCGTGGCAGCTGGAGGGGCCATCCGCGCCCTGCACAACATGGGCCACCAGGACCTGATCGCCGCGCACAACGGCACCGTCGTCGTCGATTCCTTCGAGGGCGAGGTCAACAACAAGCACAAGCCGGTGCAGGACAAATACAACCTTCGCACGGTGCACCTGGACACTCCCCCGGAGCCGTGGGTGCGCTACCAGCCCAAGGCCGAGATGCTGGTCCTCGACGACATCTATCCCGAGGGCATCGAGATACCGCAGATTTTCGCCGGCAAGAACATCGTCCACCTGCCCACCATGAAGACCCATGTCTTCACCACCATGACCGGCGCGATGAAGAACGCCTTCGGCGGCCTGCTGCACCGCAAGCGTCACTGGACCCACTCGGTCATCCACGAAACGTTGGTGGACCTGCTGGCCATACACAGGAGATCCACCCCGGCATCTTTGCTGTCACCGACGGCACCTTCGCCGGCGACGGCCCCGGCCCTCGCGCCATGCGCTGGCACATCAAGAACCGCATCGTGGCCGGCGCCGACCAGGTGGCGTGGACGCCGTGGTCGCCTCGATGATGGGGTTCGACCCGCTGTCCCTGCAGTTCATCCGCCTGGCCCACGAGCGCGGCCTGGGCGTGGGCGACCTGCGCGACATCGAGGTGGTGGGCGACGAGCCCGACATCAGCCGCGTCAACTGGAACTTCGCCGACAACGAGAACACCTTCGCCAGTCGCGGCCAGAAACTCATCTACTGGGGCCCCCTCAAGCCCCTTGGAAAACGCCCTCCTCCGCTCCCCCATCGCCGCCTGGGCCTACACCGCCAGCAACCTCTACCACAACGGCTACTGGCTTAACACGATAGGCAAGGGCCGGGTGCGCAAGGCACTGAAGACGGAGTGGGGACGCCTCTGGCAAAGCTATTAGGGGGTGTCGTCAAAACATGAGAGGGTGTAAATTGCCGGTAACCGGGAGAGTGAGTGGAAGGTGGGGAGTATGACGGCAGCGCACCGGCGCCACGATATGACAGACGGTGTTTGGGAGCGGCTGAGGCTGTACCTGCCCGGGGGAGCAGGCAAGAGAGGTCGGCCGGCCCATGACAACCGGCGGTTTATCGACGCCGTTTGCTGGGTTCTGCGCACCGGCGCTCCCTTGGCGCGATTTGCCCCCGGACTACGGAGACTGGAAGAACACCCACCGCCGCTTCTGCCGCTGGCGGGACCGGGGTGTGTGGGCCGGACTGTTGGAGGAAGTGATGGATGACCCTGATTTCGAGTGGCTGATGATAGACGCCAGCTACATCAAGGCCCATCCCCACAGTGCCGGCGCTCGGGGCGGAAATCAGGCTATTGCCCGCACCAAAGGGGGCTGAACGCAAGTTGCACCTGGCGGTGGACGCCCACGGAATGCCGGTAAGGCTGGCGGTTACTGGAGGCACGGTGGCCGACTGCTCTTTGGCGTTTGCCCCTGATCGAGGGTATAGAGGCGGAGTGTCTGCTGGCGGACAAAGCCTATGACACCAATGAAATCATAGCCACCGCTCGGGATTGGGAATGAACCCGGTGATACCGCCCAAAAGCAACCGGAGGGAAAAGCGGGACTACGACCAGGCACTGTACAAGTTGCGGCACTTGGTGGAGAACGGATTCTTGGACTTCAAGCAGTGGCGCGGAGTGGCGACCCGTTATGCCAAGAGAGCGGCGTCGTACCTGGCCATTTGCCAACTCCGGGCAGTGATGATCTGGAGCAAACTCTTTTGACGACACCCCCTAG